AAGACCAAAGGGCAGAAGAGGTTTGAGTCTGTGAATAGAAGTGATTTCTGCAGGGACACTTGTAATATGAGAAAAGCTAAGGAAGTTTTTCAGAAAAGAAATCAACAAAGGCAGCCGACGTGAAGGAACCAATCAAGAGAGAACGCCAAAAAAGACCAGACGGGTCTCTGCTGCACGTTACACAAATGTGTAAGATGCCTAAGAAGTAGCTACTATATTGGCAACTAAGATCTTCATCCTTCCAATCTTCAGAATCCAACACTGATGTTTGTCACCCTCTTCTTTCTCTCTTGGACTGGAGTTTATAGCACTCAGCACAGGGGAGGGGTGTGTTCACTAAGGGTCCTCTGGTGGCATAGTGGTAGAGAAGCTGTGCTGTCATATCCCAAAGGCACATGGTTCGAAACCATGAGAGAAAGATGAGCAACCTCCCCGCTCCCCGTGCAATTAACTGCCTCTGAAAACCCACTGGAGGGGCCGCTATGAGTCAATCCCAACTTGACAGTACACAGTTACAACCACACAGGCTCTCTGGTTTCATATTTATACAGACAGTCCCTGAGGACAGGGATCAAGGATTTTTTTCACTTCTAAGTCCTTGGCTTCCACAATTTGCCCGCGGCTGCTAATCTCAGCGTTGGTAGTTCAAACCCACTCAGCAGCACTGGAGAATAAAATCCTGGTGATGGGTTTTTGGAAAGATTCCCATTCTCACGGCCATAGAATCGGAACAAACTCAGAGCTGAGGAGACCACCCAGCTTTCTCCCTCAGAGCTCTCCTGGATTCAAACTGTGTCACTTTAGGTTAGCAACACAGCTCTGTAGACTACAGAAGCTCAGAAGCTGTCCTACTCTGCACACCTGAGGTCACTCTGCAATGGAAGCAACTGCATGGCAACTAACAAGAGCTCCTGAGTGCCCAGCATAATGTCCAGAGTGCCTGATGAATGTTTGCTGGGCGAATGGCTGGAGCCCGCTCTCTGTTCTCCATCAGCCGGCCAAAGCACTTCCCTGCTTGCTCCCCACGTCCCAGCCTGAGCACGCCTCACCAGGTGATGAGCCGCAGAGTGGCCACGGCCAGCACCGCTGAGCCATCTCCGCAGCTTCATCTGACCTTGAGCCACTTTCCTTTCTGCTTGGCTAAGCGCTGAATCATTAGCTTATTTTCACTGCCTTTCAACTCTGAAGCAGTGAGCTTAGCATGCAGGAAGGCATGATGGCTGTTTTCTGGGTGGAGAATCAATTCCCCTTAAATCAGAATTGAACTACTCACTTACTCTGCTCAGTGGGATAGTTGCTGGGGCATGAGGAGCACGGCAGAGGCTTTCGGAGTCAATGACCAGGACTCTGAACCTCTTTTTAGCATGTTTTTTTTTCTACTAACACCAGCCATGGGATTTCCTGCAAGCTGCAGGAGAAAGAGCATGCTCTGAAAGTTGGGGGGCTGAGGGAGTCCCAAGTGAACCACTCACTACTTGGTCATGTGTTAAGTTTTGACTTTAGGCAAGTCACCCCACATGTTATCATTGTACACAGATATTCATCTACAGGCATCTCTCCTTACCTGCAAAATACGAAGAGGGCCTCTGTTCCCCTCCAACTCCAGAGAGCACACACACAATCTATTGTGGCAGCCTAAGGTTGGGGACAACAGCGATGCTGCCAAGAGCAGGGCTGGGGGGGGGTACCAGAGAAGCAGAGACCCTCTGCAGATCCATGTCAGCCTCCTGGAACATCTGTCCTTGAGCAGGTCACAAAATCAATCCAGGGCTCCTGGTCGATGGGAATCTCTGTTCCTGATGAGGGGTCTCAGGATAACAGGAGTCTGGGGAGCACATGCTCAGCACAGGAATGGGAGGATGGTTAGTCTTAGTGTGTGTTGTATTAACACACTTTCTTATTCCCGACTTAGGTCCGTACGTGATGAAAACCTTGGGAAACTACTGAGGAGCAATGATGTTAGTTTGAGGACTAAGGTGCACTTGATTCAGACCATAGTCTTTTCAATCACAAAGCTGCTGAGAGCTGAACAATGAATAAGGATGACAGAAAGAATTGATGCCTATGAGCTCTGAAGTTGGGGAAGAGCACTGAGTATCCTGTGGACTGCAAAAGAACAAGAGCCTTCTAGGAGAAGGTGCAGCCAGAGGGCTCCTTGGAAGCCAGTTTGGCAAAACTTCATCTCACATACTTTGAGCATGTTGTGAGGAGAGTCTATTCCTTGGAGAAGGACATCATGCTTGGAGACATAGGGGGATGGTGAAGAAGAGGAAGACATTCAACCATGTGGATTGACATAGTGGCTGCAGCCATGGGCTCAAGAGTGTCAGAGATTGTGAGGACGGCACAGGACTGGACCGGGTTCAGATTTGTTGTTTATAGGATCATTACGAGTTATATTCAATTCAACAGCAGCTAACAACCAGCATTTCTAACAACAGCAGCTCACAACAGCATGTGCATGTGAAAGCTGGACAACAAAAATGGAAGACTAGGACTGACGTCGGGGTTCGGGGGAGACTGAGAAAGATGGGATAAAATTATGTATACCGCA